CACTTGTGAATCCAGGTCCCTTAATCTATCCCCTGAAAGCTTTGTCACCGAAGTCATTCTTAATTCTGGATTCTTCATTCGCAGTTTCAGATTTCAGCGCTGCACCCTGAAGGCAGCTGCCATCTCTGGTTGGTTTTGTGTTTGGCCCCTCTTCACAGTGTTAGGAGCACTTGGTAAACAAGAGGGTGGACTATTTCATTTCTTACCGGTTTTTGTTGCTTTGAGTACCATGTGTTAAGGCAATGCTAAGTGTTATATTACTAGTTTCTCACTCCAGCCTCACCACACTTGTGATTAGGACAAGTCCCAGGAGGCAGTCTATGTAGCAGGAGGGCCCACACCATTCAAGAGTGTGAGAACTGAAGAGCTACTTTTCAAACCCAGGTCTGCCTGCTCCAAAGCCTGCACTTGTAATGTCCCCACCCGGTGAATGAAACATGCCCCACTTTGCGGACAACCTCCTGCTACTGAAATGCCTCCGCTCCCTGGCTGTTGCTGCAGACACTTTACCAGGAGCTGTCCCAGAGCAGTCAGCCAGCTGTGTGAGCTTCATCCCTAGAGCGTCTCTGCTAGAACCTTGCCCCCTTCCTCCCCGGCCTGCTAGGGTAGCAGACCTAGAGAGCAAGCAAGGGGGCTGACGTTTAGCTAGCCTCCAGTCATCAGCGGTGGGCTTCATTCCCTTCTGGGACCCCAAGACCCCGCCTACCACTGACAGGTCCTCCCTAAAGAGTCTCTGTAGAGGCCCTCACTTCCTGCACGTGGCAGTCTCCTACACTATCTCTTCCCTTCTCTCTGAAGACCCTCCTCAATTCCAGGGCTTCAAACAGAATTGTTTTCTTCCTCCCTCCCCTCCTCAAAATGTCTATACTGGTTCCAGATCTCAGTGTACCTACTTAGTAGTCTGACCACCCTTTCAGACCCCTCCCCAGAGGAGGTGAGGAAGGTTGGTGGCTGGTGGGAGGGGAAGGAGGCAAGCAGGCAGCTCAGGCCTCCACTGGTGTGGGCTGTGGGCGCAGCAGGACTTTACTCTACTTCACTTGGTGATTGGCCTTTAACAGAATCCTGACAGCTCCCCCCTCCCTCTGAGTCATTTACATGTAAGCCCCCACCAGATGGGCTGGTACCTGACTGATTCACACAGCCTTCTGGCTGCAAAGCTTAACCCTGAAAGTGCCTTTGTGTTTAGAATCAAAAGCTCTTGTGGCATGTGGGGTATCTACTCTTTAAAACACCTCAATTAATTTCTTTTTGTTCCCAAGTCAGATGACGATTTCTTTTTTAACTGCCAGTGTTTAAAAATCCCCCCTGGAATTAGGGAGGAGAGAGGGTTCAAGCTGTGTTTTTTACTGCCTCTTAGAATCAGCCAGGGGAAAGACAGTGTCTGCATTCAACGTCCACAGATCATTCAGATGCAGACACAGAATCAAAGCCAACCTTGCTTTTCATGGCTCCTTTGACAGTGCTGGTAGGGAGCAGTGGGGGCAATTGGTCTTGTCTATTACCAGATTACCAGATGAATAAGAACAGGTAGCATCTCCTATGGACACATGGAGAGCAGGGTAGCATCTACTGTGAACACTGTCAAAGCCTAATTCATCTGTGCCACAGGCTGCTGAGGTCCAGCACCCAGTCAAGGTCATAGTCGGAAATGCTGCCGGAGAATATTGTGGCTTTGTCTGCAGGCAGCCCTGTAACTCTTTCTCTGATTGTGCGTGATACTGTCTTTCTCTGCGTGAAAGACCCTAATTTTTAAAAGACCTACAACAAAAATAGTTAACACATATGCACTTGCAAGAAGTTCTGGTGTGGCACTATAGGATAAGCACTAGACCTTAAAGTCGATTTGAACCACGAGGTGGCTGTTCAAACCTAGCAGCCACTCCTTGGAAATCCTATACAGGGTTGCTATGAGTTGGAGCTGACTTGACAGAACTTAACAACAATGCACTTGCACTGTGTCTGTTCTTAAAGTTTTACATATGTTAACTCATACATTCATCTCAGCAAGTCTATTAAGGTATTATTATCATCCTCACTTTACAAATGGTTAAACTCAGGTATAGAGAGAAAAAGTAAAAGCTACAATTGTAGCAAAGCAGAGATTCAAACCCAAGCAGTCTGACTTGAGAGTCTGGACTCTTAATTCTGTCAAGCAGTCTCTTTATCATACCAACCATAGCAAATGCTCAATCTGACTTTCTAACAGATCAACATACTGAGTTAGAAACAATGAATATCAGCCCTGCAGTCCCCTAGATAAAGTATAAACTGTCAACTCCTATGGAAAAACCTATCCAAGAAAATTAATATTGACTTCATTTGAAGGCCATGCAGTATTTACTCTTTGTTGTTGTTGTCAAGTGCTGTTGAGTTTGTTCCGACTCATAGCGACCCTGTATAGGGTTTCAGAGGCACAGTTGGTGGGTTTGAATTGACGACCTTGTGGTTTACATACCAGTGCTGTTCCAAATTCTCTCTTGGAGTCAAAATAGGAGGGGACTTCAGAAAGTCTGTGGAAAATTCCCATCATCTTTTAATTCCATTATTCTATGGACTTTTTGAAGTGCCCTTGTAGCCCTTCCAGCTGCCTGCATACTTGAATCATATGATCACAGTGTGTCTTAGGATCATTTCCTCCTGGTGTGGCCTCTAAGTTCCTGTGCTGCTGTGAGAGGCACTGTCTGAGGGGTCTGGAAGCTGACTCTGGGCTAGAAGTGTCAGCCTCCCATAAGACAGCTCGCCTCTTCTCCCCAGTAGGGGAAACTGAAACACATCACCGACCCCAAGGTCCCTTGGTACTAGGTGGAGAGCATTCCCAAACAACTCCTATGAACAACTGAGACCTCCAAGTCCAGACCCTCTGGTGCCCTCCTCTTAGAGCTGCAAGAAGGGAAAGAGGCTGGGTGGGAGTGAGGGGCAGGTTCCCTGTTCCAGGTCACAGGCACCCTGCTGCAGGCCTGGTGTGCCCACGTCCTTTCAGATGCTCACAGGGATGGTGGCAGGAACAGAGCACTCAGGCCTTGGGCTTTCCTCTTGCTTTGACCTGCCCTTCCCTCTCCATCCTGCTTGCCACCCATGACATGTGACAGGATAGAATTCTTCTGGAAGCCTAGTTCATGACCTGAAGGGACCCAGTCCTCCACTGTCACTGACAAGCAGCCTTAGGCACTGCTTGACTTCCTCTCCTGAAGAAGGTGATCTAAAATGCTGGCTCCCCTCGCAGTACTCTGTATCTGTAGGCCACATGCAGCCACCGTAGAGTTAGATGTTTAGAAAAGCTTTCTCTTAAGGCTGGATACACTTCCTGCCTTCTGATGCTGAGAACAAGATAGTTAGTTGTATTCTTTTTTTTTATCTTTGGTGTTAGGAAGCTTAAAACTGATCTGTAGGATTTAGAAGAGCCCTGGTGGTGCACTGGGTTAAGCATTTTGGTGTGAACTGCAAGGTTGGTGGTTCAAACCCACCAGCTGTTTCACAGGAGAAAGATGAATCTGTCTGCTCTTGCAAAGATTTACAGTCTCTGCCCTACAGGGTCACTATGAGTTGGATGGCAGTGAGTATACTTTGGGTTTATAGGATTTAAGTTAATTTTTTGTGGCTTGAGCCAATATATTTTTCTTTATTTTCCTTGAATGTAAACTGGAAAGGAGACAAGGAAGAAAAGCAGGGTGAAGAGAGGGAAGAAGGAAGAAGAGGGAGACAGCCCGGGTGTCCCATTCTGCGCGGCAGCCAGGCACACCAAATAGTGGCTGAGTTGCCTGCTTGAGCCACGCTGGGTAAAAGCCAATTTTGAAGACGGAACCTCTTGGTCAATCACCTGTTCCTTTGGAGTTCTGAGTTACAGCAGCTATTTTTCTGACACATGGAGAACAGGATAGCATCTACTGTGAACCCTGTCAAAGATTAATTCATCTTCCCATATTCATCTCGCATTCTGGTAATAGACAACAAAAATGAATCAAAGTATTTCCCCAGTGACTAAAGAAAATAAATCACAGAATGAAGATATTTGATAAAATAGTTGAAAGTACAAAAATCCCTACCAGAGGTAGTTTAGTTATAAAATAGTTAATACTGGGACATTCTTCTAAACAGTATTCCAGATCCAGCAAGAACTGCCTGCCTGTTATGAGCCCTCCTGACTCACAGGAAGCCTCATCATTAGTGTAAAGAAGAAACTTGCCTCTGTTTTGTATAGACCTCCATTCAAAGATCAAAGAACCATCACATTCGTCTGTGTTCTCAGGAGGGACCAGTCCCTGGGGCTTGCCAAAGTGGAGGGTCAGCGAAGAAGAGGAAGACCCCCCCAATGAGATGAAATCACTTAGTGGCAGCAACAATGGGTTCCAACATAACAACAATTGTGAGGATTGTGCAAGACCAGGCACTGTTGTACATAGGGTCACTAGGAGTTGGAAATGACTCTACACTAAGCATGGAACAAGATGGGGTGAAGAAAGACCAGGCTGCAACTCTGTTTTCTGTAGTTCAGAATCCTCACCTCATCTGGCATGAGCTCTTGTTGGCCTAACTCTTTGAGTCAGCCTCTTCTGCTTGACCTGCTATCACTTCTCGTCCAGCAGAGCTCCAGGCCAGGGGGATGTCAGTAAAGTTTCCAGGTTTTGAGTAATTTTCCCAGCCTTTGACACAAGGTGGTAGAGGATTAGGGGTAGGAGGGACCAGGGAGTCATTGCTTCAGGGCTACTGAGTTTTTGTTAATGGTGGTCGAATAATTTGAAAAGAATCGTTGTAATGTTTATACAACATGATGAGTATCACCCAGTGTCCGCTGAATTTTACGTGTAAAAATTATTGTATTGGGAAATGTTTTGTTATATGTTTTATTGCCATGATAAGATTAAAAGAAAGAAAGAAGTGGGGTGGCTCTTTATTAGCTAGTCTGGGAAGACTGTTCTTTTTCTAGAAGAATCATTCTCCCAGCAAGTATCCTCCTTCAGTATTGAACAGCATGAAATAACCTCTGCTTTTCCTGCTTCTAGACCACTACTCTTCCAGGCAAATGAATGTGTGGCCAACAGCCCTGCCCTGGGTGACATTATTCCATTCAGCGTTATTATTCAGTTTTTGTTCACGAGAGCGCCAGCTGAGCTGAAATCCCCTTTCCAGGTAATGAAGTGAAGTCACTATCTCCTCTTCTTTCCCCATTAACTTTGTACAGACTGAGCCCCCCTGGTCTTCTCTGGCTTCATGGAGTTGTATTTTTGACAGTGGATGGAGATCAGGAAAGGAAAATTCCCAGTGCCCAGTACCTACTCTCACAGCTGTGTAGAAAAGTACCTAGTGAATCCAAACTGATCCCTTTAGCAACACAAGTAACTGATGCTCATGAAGCATTGGGGATGCCCACTTTGGCTGACCCTCCATCCGTTGACCCACCATCCAGAGTCTCTTTCATGGTGAGCCAGGGCTGTGACTCCTCCAATTGCCACCCTCAGTTGGTGTTTGGGTAATTCCACCTTGGAAGTCCTTGAGGATGTGATCATTCCCTGAAGAACACATGTGCATGTCGCCTCCATTTGTGTTCCCCCACAACAGAGAGCAGAGTGGTCCCATGCTCGCTTCTCCCAGTGGCTGGATGACCATCCATCTGAAAAGGACAGGCTCCTCCTCATCAGGTAAGGCCTTGTGTCCATGGACTCCTGCCTTGCTGTGGGGGAGGGGGGAAGATGAAGGGCAGCCCCTGGGTGGGTGTGTACACGAGCTGCACCTGCCTTGGCACGATTGCTCATGACAGCCTTTTCATTCCATGCTCTTCACTACCAAGTCTTCACACCAATGCTCCATGCAGCCCGAAGAGCTATGCACTTCTGAATTTGGAAAGCCAACTTCAGCCATGTAGATTCTGCCTTAGCTCTGTGGTTTCTGCTTGATTTCATGTGTTGCAGTTAGTGAACTGGTGGATCAGAAAGTGAGTAGACTTTGTACAGTACTCAGATGTGACACAGTTATTAGCAGGAGACAGGGATAACACAACCCAGCAGCCACTTAGATACTATGTGCCCTCATGTTGTGTCTCAGAAGTACACAGATTCATGCATACAACACATCCACACAACATGCACCTAACCATTTCCATGGTGGGATGCTTTAAATGACACACGCAGGGTGTTTGCCATCGACACTGTTCTTTGAAGTTGTTCTTACCACGGTCACCAGGACCGTCTCATTCTGCAGCTGGCCATGGAGTTGACCACCATCTCCTTGTTGAAACCTGCTGACCGATGGCACAATTTCATCAGGTGCTCACTGTGGGTCAGGCCTTGCACTAGAACGGGAGATACTGTGTAAACAGACATGGACCAGGCCTCTTGGTCATGGTTCTTTTTGTATCTCATGTGGTTTATTTTACATGTGAATAAAGGAGTCCTGGCGTGGTGCTGTGGGCTAATGCATGAGACTGCAAAGCCGTTTGAACTGCAAGGTTGGTGGTTCAAGCTCATCAGCTGCTCCTTGGAAACCCTATACAGGGTCGGAATCGACTCGACGGCACTTCACAACAGCAACATGCATGCCTATATGTACATTCAAAAGGGCTTCAAGAAGTCTGTAGAAAGATGGAATGAAAAGATAATGGAATTTTTCCACTGACTTTTGAAGCCGCTTCATATGCCTGTAGATGCATCTATCTGTGCACACACATGTACCTGCATAGTCATTCGCATGCACATATATCCTACATGCGTATTTGTGTCGCCACACATGTCTTCTTCGGTTCTTGGTGTGATCACAACATTGCACCCCAGTGCTGGTCTAAAGTTCTTGTCCCTGGTGCACTCCTTAGTGAGGCTGTGTGCACTTCCTCCTCAGCCTGTCCTTTCCCATCACCAGAACAAACCAGTGTCTACAATCTCGAGAGTGCTTTTCCTCCTCCCCTCCCATCCCTGCTGACCACCAGTGAGCAGTGCTCTCTGTTTAATAGGCAGCTATTGCTCCTCTAACCTCTCTTGTTTGCTGAATTATCTTCTTCTGTCCACTCCTTAAATATCATCATTCCTCACACCTTATTCTTAACTCTTTTTCCTTCTCATTCTGTTTCTATAGCAACTCCCACTGACTACAGGGCGCCTCTGGCCAGCTCACTCAAATACCCCCAGAAACGTCATCCCCACAATCTTCCCAATAAGTCATCTTTCCCCTCTAGCTTGCTTATTCTCTCATACTCCGTTTTGGTTGGGATGTCTCTGTTACCTGACTAACCAAGCTAGAAGACTCTTAAATCATCCTTGAACTCCTTTTTCTCCAAATCATTTGGCTGTACTTCTTTAGTAGCTCTTAAAGTCATCCCCAATTCTCTCAGAGGATCTGAATGCTGCTGATCTGGGGACCACAGCCCAGACCAGCCCTGTTTGAGCTGGTTCTCCACTGTTTACACACAAGAGTCGTTTACAGAAAATTCCTGATGCCCAGGTCCCGTGCTGCACTGGGACATCTTCAGGTTGTCAGATGAGAGAGCTAGAATCAGCTTCCAAGAGGAGTACTGAACTCTCAGGTCTGCTACCCAGAGTCTGGGTGAGCCCCTGGCCCTCTCCATGCCTGTCTGGAAAGAATAGATCCGCTCAGACCCTCTCTTCTTCCTTACTTATTATTACCTGTTACACTTCTCACAGTTATGAACATTTGGCCAAAGAATTTGACCAGCGTGCCTCCTATCAGTTAATGTGACTGGGTACAACTGCCCTCAGAAAAGGCTTTGGGTATGGATAAGGGAGTCTGTGCCTAGCATGACTCAGAGATTTGCAGTGTCTGGATGGATTTTTTCCCTGAGTCCCAAAGCTGCACTCAGCTTTAACACTTGGTAATAGAAGAGGTGCTTGGCAGTGTGGTGAGTGGACAGAGTCCGTGTCTACCATCGTAACAAGTCCAGAATGAGTTCATCAAGAACAGTTGTCCTGCTGTGGGCACAGCACAAATCTGTTTTCTTTTGCTTCTCTTTAAAAATGTCTCCTGAGTGATCTCACTGGCAGTGCTGTTGCTAAGCCTATATTTAGAACTGAAAATCCTGCTCAGTAATACTGACATGCCTTTTAAATCAGGCCTACCCATCTCTGTACACATGGCTGCTGCCAGAGCCTTCATGCCCTGAGCCGAAAATTGAGCCCTCCTTGGGGGATTTCAGGAAACCGGCTCGTGCTACACTCGCAGCTGTTGGCAAGAAGGGAACCTTTGTCCTAGAGAATGTTCTTCCTTCTCTATGATTGCAAAACCAATTTAGTTCTTGCATACTGAAGTGTCACTGCATGAATTTCTTTCTGCTGTCGATAAGCCCAGGGTGAGTATTGCTCTTTAAATGTCAGTAAATTTGTTTTAGCTTTGGGGGCAAACTGTTTTCTTATCCTCACTCTGGTCTTCCTAACATAATAATTTAGGTTGTCCTAAAGTAGGACGCATTGAGGGAAAGGGACCTAGTGCTGCTGAATACGTGGTGGATAACTGACTCTCTCTGCCTCTCTGTTTTTTTTGTTTGTTTGTTTGTTTTTTATTGTGAATTGAGTGAAAGTTTACAGGGCAGATCATCAGTTTTACATTCAACCAATCATGTTCTTTGTTTCTTTACAATGATTCTAATCCCCTCCATCAGTTAACAGTATTTCTATGCCTTTTAGCTCCCCTTTTTTTTTAAATACTCAGGCATATATAATTATATCACCAAAGGACACATTCTGCAAGTTGGCTTCCTGGCTGCCAGCCTTCAATTCCTCTAATTCCATGAGTCTAGAGTCCTCAGCCGCTCCCTCTCTCCACGTCCCCATCTCTGCTTCCATCTCTGATGTCGCTGCTTCTCTGAATAGGGTCCCGCATTCTACTTGTGCTCTTCTCCCTTGATGGTCCTAGGGGCCTATGTTTCTGGACTGTAAGATTAACTACTCCCCATTTTTGTTACAAAACTTCTATGTGACAGTAACAATTAGTCATGATAACAATTACTCACTATTGAATCATAAGAATCTTATCCCCATCTCTTTTCACCAGACCCGTCTAGACAAGATGAAAACTATTCAGTGGGGACTCTATCTTCCCACACACTCTTAAACTAAACTCCCTCTTGAAACCTTGTAAGCCAGTCACTTCATGCCTTTATTGACCCCTCATTTTAAGTAGCCAGTGTCTAAGTTGCCCGTCCCTATCCACCCTGTGTATAGAGAGGATAGGGTTGATACTTGATGTATCAAACTCCTTCCTTCTCTGTTGGTATTTTGAGCTACTACATACATGAGTATAGATCAAGTTCATCAAATTTGCCCTCATTTCCTTTTTCAAAACAATTTTTTTGTTGTTTTATCTTCCTCTAATTGAGTTCTGATTATCAAGCCATTGAGGCTAGGTCAAATGGGTACTGTCTGCAAGTTTGGGTGTTCTTGTGCATCTCCCCTCACTTCATATCAGCTGGATGCTTCACTCTCAGCTCTAGCCCTCTGTGACTATGTCCTTGTCTAGGTCTCACCACACTGTGGACCAACCAGCCCTTCCTCTTCTCTCTCTCATCTCCAGGTCAAGGGGAGTCAATGGACTGTGGTTGAACTCAGCCCATTTCTTCATTGCTGCCTTTCCCCCGCTTCCACTCACCAGTAGACCAGTGTGGTTGTCAGCAAGCTTACATGCCTGCTCATGTGTTCCTTTTGAGTTTCAGTCTTAGAGGGGAGTTTGTCCTGAAAGAACTTGATTGCTTGCCTTGATGGCTTCCCGGCGAACAGCTTGCTTATTCTTGTAGTAGCCAGTCATGCTGACATTTTTGTTTTGGGTTTTTCCTGCTGATCTTTCTTTGAAGATGTATCTTCTGTCACTCTAGCTATTCCAGACTTGCCTGCTTGCTGCCTTTTTTGATACCAGATGTTTTTTCTAGAGTCAGTCAATTGTGAAATAAAACTCCTGGGCCAACTGATCTAAGTAGGGGATAATTTCCAGACTCGGCCCCACCAGCAGGTGCTCCAGAGGTGCTTGGGGCAATATCTGCGGCTCTGTAAGTGGTTTATGTGCGTTCCTTATAGACAGAGATTGAGCTGTCCATGCAGAGATTTCTCAGGCTCTACAGAAGTGGCAGGATTGGTCCATGAGCCCATTCACTCTTGGTGTTCACAGTGGGCAGCACTTCTTGTGACCCTCTTCTCCATTGCTTTTCCTTAGTCTGAGCAGAACACTTTTATGAGGTCAAACTTGTCCACAGTCCTGATTAGCCGAGTGGTACCTTTGTCACTCAGCTACCAGACAGTGCTGTGCTTATCTGAACCCTCAGCCCCTTTGTCCCCCTGCTCTGCTCCAGAACCACAGGCTGGGACCTAGTTCCTCAGCTCCTCTCCATCTCGGTCAAACTACCAGCTCCCTGCTGATGGAGAGTAGTGTTGGCTCTCCCTGCCTGGTGCCTTCTATGTCACCAGACACCTACCACTTCTTAGAACTTTAGGGACCTGAGATGATAGTACCAAGAGGGAGGGTGGGGCCTGGAGGCAGCCTGTGCTTTTAAGTGGGCAGCTGGTATGTCTCAGAGTCATTTATGTATTTCAGTATTAAGCACGAAGTATTTAATTCCTGAAACAAATCAATTTTATTTCCTCTCCATTTGGTTATTGTATGTCACATTAAGTAAGCAGTGTTACCATGTTACCACAAGCCTTCCATT